GTCGACTACAGTGAATCAGAATCATCCTCACCTCTCGAAGAGATGTTGACAAACGATTATTTACTGCAAGAAGACGAGTTGTTTCCTATTATCGAATCTAACTAATCACTTGAATAGGATGAGATTGATGGAAGCACGTGTCTAATCCTCAAAGAACCCATAGTATTACCTGCCTCATCATATCAGACTTACAATGTACCGGTGCCTGTTCTGTTACGCGGTTCCAATACCTGTACACGCAATCCAAACGTAGCCATCCCTGAACACATTGGCATATACAGTAGCATTTTATATCCTTCAGAAAAATCATACTGAGTATCCTTAATCAACATGTCTGATACAAAAGAAACCACTTTACAACGCGAGGACATCCTTGGCGATCTAATCGCAGTAACCACGTCGGATCAAGGTTACGTGGTCGTCAAACTACAGCCTGGCAACTTGCCTGTATCTACCGCAGTTAACCAACCACCACTACAGGATTCGCAATTGCAACAAATTGACATTGGTGACATGACAAATAATTGTCACAAGAATTTTTCTCTCTTATACAACAGTACCAGGACATCTTCGACTGGGATAAACAAACAATTGGATACACGGATAGAATCGAACACGACATTATTACGGACGGGGTCGCTCCTATTCGCCACCGCCCCTATCACATGAGTCCTACTATATTAAAATATTTAAAAAGTGAACTCGATCGTTTTTGCAAAATGGGAATCATCAGACCATCCAATAGTCCCTGGGCTTCACCAATCATCATGGTGCACAAGAAGAGCAAGCCAGGAGACACAGAACAACAATATCGACTTGTAGTTGACTATAGAAAACTAAATAAGCACACGCGTTTTGATGCTTATGGCGGACTAGGACGCATACAAGAACTTTTACACAGCCTGTCGATGCCGGACCCATCCAGTGGAACCCGCATATCTCCTACAACTTTCAGCTCACTAGACATGGTCAGCGGATACCATCAAGTACCCCTTTGCAAGGATGCCATACCCAAAACAGCTTTTACAACACGCCTTGGCCTTTACGAGTATTTAACTATGCCGATGGGACTAGTCAACGCAAGTCAAACCTTTGCTCGATTAGTAGATAATGTGTTCCGATCACTGATTCACAAATGTCTGGTAGTTTATCTGGATGATGTCAATGTATACTCCACAGACCCAAAACAACATTTACACGATCTAGCTAAAGTATTTGCGTGCGTACGATACGCGAATCTCAAACTCAACCCTCGCAAATGCGCCTACTTCAAAAGAGAATTAGCATTTCTTGGCCACGTCATATCGACAAAAGGCATCCACACTGACCCAGAGAAGATCCAGAAGGTTGCAGAGTTCAAATTATCGCAAACAGTCACCCAGTTAAAATCCTATTTGGGATTATGCTCATACTACCGTATCTTCTGTAAAGGTTTCAGCAAAATCGCCAGACCAATGCACGAGATGACAAAGAAAGGAACTATCAAGCTGACCTGGAACCCTGAGGCTATGGCCGCATTCGAAACATTGAAGAAGGCGTTATGTTCCAGTCCAATCCTAGTATATCCAGATTTTACTAAGCCGTTCACGTTAATCACCGATGCATCCCGAGATGGATTCGGTGCAGTACTTACTCAGCACGACGACAACAATAAAGAACACGTCATACTCTACATCAGTCGAGGTCTAACAGCAACAGAAAAGAACCACGGAATCTCAAAGCTTGAGTGTGGAGCAGTCGTATGGAGCATACAAAAGCTAAGACCGTACCTTCTTGGCAACAAGTTCACAGTACTCATGGATCATTCACCATTAAAAGGATTATTAAACACGCCGCAACCCAAAGGCATCCTAGCTCGATGGATCATGACATTGAGCGAGTATAGTTTTGAAACTAAGTATCGCCCTGGTCGACAAAACAGCAACGCAGATTTTCTTAGCAGATTAGGATATTAATACCATCATCGTTATGACCAGCCTCCAGGAAGTCGTTTAAAAGCTTGAGATGTCAAACACCAGCGCAACCTACCCCCCCTTTTTTTTCTTATTGTTTTTTCTCTATCCGTTTCAAATCTTGCTATCCTATTACAACTTCATTTTTCCTTGCATTTGACCACTTACCCTCGCTTTGTCTCTAATTTCAACACCTTTTCTATTGTTATTATTCTTTATTTTTTTTTTATCGTTGTAGTACATATTTCCTTTATACATAGCTATCGGGTATTCAACTTCCCGTCCGTTCAATAATCCCCCGATCATACCTTACTACTGTGCACGTTTGCTACACAAGCACGGCTACATAAAAGACACCCCTAAACCTAGTATCAAAAAAAAAAATCAAGATCAAATAACACGTTTCAAAACAACAAAAACAATATATAATACATTCAAAAACACTCTATCTCTAACTGTTTCACCAAAAGATTATTCTGCCACTTTAATTACCACACATCAGATATTCAGATTGTCACAAGCATACCTCAACAGAACGGCTAGCAAAAACATTCACAAAACAAACACTTCAAAACAATGGACCCTGTCAAATTATCACTGCTACAGTACTATCTAGATACTCTCGAGTATCCTCCGGGCATCACGAGACAGCAACAGCGTTTCCTTGACAGCCAAAGCAAACACTACTTCACATATAACGATTGACTATACCGACGCAACGGTGATTCACCACGCTTAGTCCTCACCAAATCGGAGGCTGATAACTGTATTTGGCAATTCTACTTTCACCCCTTCGGAGGCCATTTCGCCACAGAAAACACATATTATAAAATTTCACGCAAATATTTCTGGGAGACGATGAAAAAAGAAATCAAGGACGCGATTTCTCGATGTGATCATTGTCAGCGACAAAAGAAGCAAACATGCAACGAGTTGCTTATCCCTATCCCGATAGAACCCGAACCATTTCGATGTTGGGGCCTAGACATTAAACACCTAAAGACTTCGCGACGCGGGTCTCAGTACATTATTGTGTGTATCGACTACTTTACTAAATGGGCAGTAGCTAAGGCCGTACGTCATGCAAACGCCACAGAAGTTGCAACCTTTTTATACGAGGATATCATTTGCAAATTTGGAACCCCTTCGTCATTGATCCATGATAACGGAAAACCTCTGGCAAACGGACTCATGGAAGAAGTACAAAAGATTTGGGGATTTACAGTCAAAAAGATTAGTCCTTTTGTCGCATCGGTCAATGGAGAGGTCGAACGTCTGAACAAAACAATTGGTTTAATCCTGCGAAAACTTCTACTGAAAGAACGTGATGACTGGTGCACATATTTACCTGCAGCTTTATTCTCATACAACACGATCCATCAGGCTTCCACACAAAAAAGTCCATTCGCCATGTTGTATGGAGTAGATCCCAATACACCTTTCGATAGACTAATGGACGAATCCACACGCACCGATGCCGATCTTGACTGGACACCTGAACAGATTGCACAACACATGAGGATACAACTTCACAAGTTACGTCAAATTAGACAACAAGCCGTGGCCACGATTAAGATATCTCAGGAAAATCAGAAGAAAACCATTAACAAGAAGGTACTAGCTAAACGCAACCACCATTTAGTGTCGGCGACGTTGTCCTTATATATAACAATGCAATAGAAACATCTTGGAGTGGAAAACTCGAACTCAAATGGCTGGGACCTTATATTGTCCATCAAGTTAACAACAAAAATAGTTATCAGCTCAAAACTTTACAAGGAGACATGCTACGCGGAGTATTTCATGGCAACAGATTGTGTATATATAAGTTGCCAGATGTCCACTTTAGACCTACACTCACTGCCTCTCCACCAGTCAACCAGTCTCTGACCCTCATGGACCATAACACAGCGCAACAAGCCAGCGACATGGCCAATACCATGCCTCTCGTGGTAAACACACCTGACGATTGTATGGAAGACTCTTCTGCTGCGACCACCTTCGACATCCAGTAGGTGCTGGCGTTTTTGGGAGCCCCCCTGGATGACATCTTACCAGCCGATCTGGTACAGATGATTCGACAATTGGCAGAATGGGAAGAGGCCAGAATTCGACTACCCGCACATAGAATCAAGACGGCCAAAACACTGTATCAAGTAATCTAGAATAGTCTGCATTTACGCAATAAATGCGCTAATGCACAAAACCGCTATAAAAACTTATGTGACATTTACCAACTCAATGACTTACCAATGACGCAACTGGCACGAGGCAAGAGTTTTCATAATCTACTGAACAAGCATTTTCCAGAAGACGACACAAATCCCAACAAACGACGAAAACTCAACAACGAGCCATCGCCCCACCTCTTTATATCATAGTTGTCAATATCACTATACATATAATAGAAGATAATCAATAACACAAAACAAAACAAGAAAAAAATAAAATAAAAATAAAAATAAAAATAAAAAATTAACATCATATACACTTTCAAACTCGTCATTTGATCAACAAGTTATCAAGCCATAACAACCTGTCAAAGTGCCCCACTAAGCTTATTTGAAGCTGGTGGCACAAATACATCGAGCCGCTCCAACCCCGCAAGTGCACGAAGGTGTACAATCTTTTCACACCTCGCTATTATGAAGGTGCATAATCCTTTCACACCTCGATAACCCGACAAGTGTAAAAACATTTCACACATCACTACTATAAAGGTGCAAAATCACTTCACACTTCATTTGGGCCACTATTAATCTAAAGTATAAATACCCCAGAATCTGTGAATGAAACCAAAGAAAATACAATACCTAGACCACCACATTAAACAGCCTTAACATGTCCCTCTTTTCGTCACCCTACGAACCTACAACTCTAGACTTTTCGGGCATGTTCCCAGATGCGATCTCGGTTAACAGCACCCCTGCCTGGGTTCACAGCGAACCTACACCGCACTCACTCGACACGACACCAGATACAACAAACAATACCCAACAACCGGCTCTGCAGCAATATCCCTCGCCCTGGGGAAGCAATACCGACGCGCCTGGTCCTCGCCTGGTTCTAAACAATATTGGACGAGTCGAGTATCGTTCAGTCGACCCGGAATTTGTACCACCCGCATTGGATCCAGAAGCTCGGAACCGCCGAGCCGAGATGGGCCTTTACTACGATCTGACACAAGATTGCATGTCACTACATCTCTGGCAACAACAGCTAAAGGAGGATCTCGACGCCAACCGCCGCTTACTAGCAAATCGTATCGCACACCGTCTAGCCATAGTACTGTCAAGAATTCCGAGCGAACTAGAACGCCAAGGAGCCATCCGCGTGTATCTTAAACAACACATACACGACACCTACATCACCGGTGATTCCAAGCTCCACGCTCTTATACATAGTTACTACAATACCTTGTCATCTACAAATACGTTTGCTTTCGCCTGGGACGTGCGTCCTTAAGGGGCCCAGGATATGTAACCTAGCTTGTTGTCCCCAATACATTCGTATCAATAAATGGGCTCTTCCCCTTAGTATTGGCTTTGTAATCTACTTGTATCACTATCTGTCAGTTTACTCTCTATCATTTTCATCACAGACTTGGTGTAACTATGAGTGCAAATTTATCTCACACCTGCAACAATACGCTTACTGCGCAACACCACTCTTACTGCGAGTGCAAAAACAACTCACACCAGGTACAAAACCATTTCGCACTACTGCGGTATCCATTGGATCAAGCACCAATTAGATTAGATATAGATAGTGTATTAGAATTAGTATAAATAGACCAATATTTTGTATTGAATAATAAACAGTTCAGTTCTTTAGCTTCTCTTTCACCTAGCTTTATCTTTTCTCTTATCCTACTAAAAGGATTGTCTTTTGTGGCTCCAGACGTAATAATTCCTGGTTGTTGAACTCCCACACTTCTATTTCATCTCTTTTGCTTAATACGTAGCATTTCATCCACATTTATCAGCTTTTCTTATACTATCCATCCTATTATACGGGATTCGTAACTCTTACACAAACTAAGACGTTACATTGCATTCGATCAACAGGATTGGGATGTATGGCTACCAGTTGTGGAGCATACATACAACAATACATACCAAGCGTCAATCAAGATGACTCCATATTACTGTGACTTAGGTCGTCATGTCCTCACCCAAAGTTACCTGGAGTCTAACTCAAGTAACGAAGCTGTGGCGCACCTCGAGTCAAGACTCAAGACGATCGGTGAACACGTAACTGACAATATCAAGGCTGCTGCAGCCAGGCAAGAGCAGTATGCCAACCCACATAGGCGTGATGTTGAATTCGAAGTTGGACAAGAAGTACTTGTGGATCAACTATACCTTAATCCACATAACTTCCCACGATCAGCTAAGAAGAAGCTTGCAGCCAAGTACGCAGGTCCCTAGAACGTATTGGCACTGCGTGTGGAGGGACATATCACAAGCTAAAAAACAGGGTGATATCCAGGTGATAACAAGGGTAACAGGTCCATATCACCCTGTTTTTGAGTAAGGTGATATTTACGAAAAAACCGAGTAAGTTGCAGATATCACACGGTTTTAACAGTGTGATATATAACTCATGCATGTAAGCGGGAATTGGCGTCGCTCATAATATGTATGTAGTCATGGTTAGGTTCTCTATTGCATTACATATGGACCAGGTACTATGTGAAGCAATTCCTTTACAGAGGTCCGCATATGCATA